AATAGAAGATGAGAAACAGTCCTGAAAACATCATGGTCAGAGAAGGAGGAGAGGGAGAAGGTGCTCCAAGTGCTTGAGCAGGTATTTCCCTGCAGTCCATGAAGAGGACCACCATGGAGCAGATGTTTACACTACAGCTTGTCGAGGAGCCTGCAACAGAGGAGATGGATATTCCCTCATGGAAACAGTAGGATGTGGAGAGGAATCCATGTTGGAACAGATTCTTCGGACAGGAACTGTGGCCTAGGGAGGACCCAGGTTTGTCCTGAAGGACTTCACCGTGTGGAGAGGCCCCAGCCTGGAGCAGGGGAAAAGTGTGAGGAGGAAAGGGTGCCTGAGATGAGCTGATATGGACTGACAGTATCGCCCCCATCCCCCTGCTCTGACCAGTAGGAGGTAGAGGAGTCAGGAGTGAAGTTGAACCTCGGAAGCGGAGTAGGGGAGAAGGTGTTGGTTTAATATTTTATTTATTTTTTACTACCTAAATCTATTTTAAGTATCAGTAACTTAATTTTCTTCGTCAAGTCTGCCCATGATGGTGAGGGGTAAGCAATCTCCATTTTTTGTCTCAACCCATGAGCTTTTTCATCCTATTTTCTCCCCCTGTCCTGGCGAGGAAGCAGAATGAGTGAGCAGTTGGGTGGGTGGATATCCTTTGCCAACCCACTGTAATGTCATTTCTTGTTTCCTCAGAATAATGTAAGTGAGAGTACTGTGTTGATTATGAACCGATCACTGTGTCAGGAATAAAGCAATTACACTCATTTGAGTAAAACTAAATACAAACTTTTAAATCCTGTTGTAGGGAATCTTTACTTGTTTTCATATGTAGATCCTAGTCATGGTCTTTGAATACTCAGGGTTGATATGTACATTTTTTAAATGTACACAGTCTCTGTTAAAATTTTTGGGTACTAAATTGACAGGCTACAAATCCTTTGTTATTTAGGCAAGACAGTAAGGAAAATTGTAGAAACATTATGGCTTTAGGATGACAAAATATACATATAAATTAGAAAAGGTAGTACTCCCGTCTTTACTGTTTTTTCCCTTACAATGAAATATTTATGACAAAAGTATTCATGACAGAAGTTATTAGCGCATGATTTGACAGAATGAATATGTTGGATATACAATTCTTGTTTTGCAATGGTGATCAATTTGGCTTCACAAAGACTGTCATGTTAACCCTTCAGTCCTCCCTTATGTGTATTCCCAGGATACAAAGAACAAATAAGCACAAAATCACTTCTGATCAGAATGACTCTGCTTTGATTACTTTCTGCTCTAAAAAGCCAAAGAGTTTGAAAGAAAAAATAATTGGAAAGGTGTTTAAAAGAAGGCCTGGCGCAAAACGGAAACTTGCCAATAGTGTGATAAATTGGGATATGTGACCACATGGCTGTATGCTTCCACCTATGTTTGGCTCTGCAGAATGCAGTGATATATATATATATATATACATACACACACATCTATAGGCTAGCGTTGATTTTGTGAATTGCAGAACTTCAAATCCCTTGCCTACAGTCATACAGAGTAATAGAAACAACTTATTCTGCAAGACAAATGATGTGATGGTTAAAAGCTTTGTTAAATGTGCATGTGTTTTCGTTTTTCTTGATGTTGTTAAATGTGTACTTAGAGGCAACTTCAACTCTTATAATCTAGCCTCTGTGGAAAGTGGTACAGCTGAGTGCCATTTTGTATGAAGACTTAAGAGTCAGTTACTTGATCTTCCTAGAGCTCTCTTTGGAGCTTAAACTTTTGTAACTTTATGAGCTATGTAGCATTTCTTTTACCAAATTAAAGTGCCATCCATATGTCTGGTGGCTGATTCAGTAATGCAGCCCTTGTTTTTTTTATAGCTAAGCTTTCCCATTGTATGATGCATGGAAGTTATAATTGCCTTTTATTGATATGCATTCTTTTAAGTTTATAATATCAGGATATTTCAAGCTATGAGTTAACTTGCAGTACTGATAAAGTTCCTGTGGAAACACGGTGAATGAAGAATTTTCCATGTTTCCTCTCTGAAAAAAAAAGGTCTGTATCTTATCAGCCTCTGGTCCATCTTCAACAACGTTTCCATTTCTTTAACGGAGAAAAAACATTAGAATTTCTGCCCACTGTTTTCATTGTGGTATCCTGGCAGACATTGATCTGATCTGTGTGTGCAGAAGAGATTTCAGTAATATTTCCAGCTTCCCTTGTTTGAAAACCCTTTTTTTGACTCATTTTGGGACTCCATCCAACATAAAACCTGTTGAATTCAAGAACATTACTATTTCCTGCTTCATCCCATAGTGTCTTTTGTGGTGCAGACAGGTAACATAAGGTTGTTTTGAAAGAGGCGTCTTTCCTTTTTTTGTGTCCTGTGCCTCCATTAACAGTTAATGTGTGTCCCATCCACTTACTAGCTATTTCTTTACATTAAATCTTCTGTCACAAAGTTTCATATCTATTAACATTATAAACCCTGTTTATTTCTGATTTTCTGCTATTTGGCTTAGTCTTTTGTAAACATGTTTTAGGATCATTTGATGAAAATTCTTCTAGTTTTACGCTTTACTGGCTTGGATTAACATTCTTTGTTCATAAAACTGGCCTTTCTCTTACTTCTAAACATTTAGGAGATATTTAAAACATTACAGTTTATGTATGTATTTAATACAGGTATGTCTAAATTTACTGCAGAATTTGAGGACTGCATTGAAAAATAAATGCTTAAACCTGGTGGCGGCAGCAGCAAAGTATGCAGTTGAGAAGGGTATTACAGATGCCATTTTCCAAATTGAGTTTTGCAGCAGCCCCAGGCAATCAAATTACAGCGTATTTTACTGCACAGTCTATTCTGTCTTGGTAGGAAAATTAAACTGTTTGCCTTCTTAGCAAAGATTGCCTTAGAATTACCTATGTGCAGCTGTAAAGCCCAGACCCAGCTCTTTCTCTCCACAGACCTCTAAGTCTGATCACTAAACAGGTAGAAAAGTATTCAAACAATAGAGTGTTTCTTAACTGTCTCTTAATGGTAAAACTGTTGTGTATGCATTGTATCCAGTCATCTTTGATTAAAGCACAAGAATATGAATGTTAAATTTTTTTCTGTATTTATTACCTTTTCTCCATAGAGTCTTTCAACCTAGTTATTCTTAGCTGTCTGGTGCTGGTTGGTCCACTTTTTTTCCTTTGTTGTCCTTCTCTTTGGCAACAAATGCAGTGCTTTGACCTTTTATTTCTGATTTCAGAGAAATCATGTGTTTTCCAAGTTTTCTGTGTAGAAACATAAAGTTTAACTAGAAAACATTTCTTGAAAAATGATGCATCCTGGACTCTTAGGATAAATTAATATGGATATGCAATAATTAGGAAATGTGGAAGATCGGAATTTTATTTAAGATCTTGATTTTATTCAAGAAGTCTGGGACTTAGAAGATGAGTATCTATTTTGATGTGTTGCTCTTCAGATATCCTGCTTCAGACATCTGAAAGGGATCAGTTTTGTTTTGTGCAGTGTTAAAATCTTTACTGATATCAGCATCTATTAACTGAAGTAAACTTTTGGATATCTCTACTATATTTAGTAGAAAAAAGTAAAACAGCAATCTTACTATTTCAAGAGATCTTAGTGTGATGTTATACTGACAATATAAAACTATATATTTGGAAATATTGTTTGAAATGTTCATTAAAAATTTCTTCTAATTGTTATATAAAAGAACTGACAGGAATATAAAAAATATGTCCACTTGACATTCAGATTTTAAATGTACTAAAATACTTTCCAGATGCTAGGCTTTTGTTGGAGCTTTTGTTTTTTTTTTGTTTCTTTTTTTCTTTTTCTTACTCATTCAGGCACATTTCAGGAGCAAAAGAGAAACCAAAACAAAGTGACAAAAACACCCGAGCAATATTTAAATTCTTAAATATGCGATACTGATATTTTTTTAGATTTCATGATATTTTCTTTTTTTGTCCTTTTTGGAAACCCATGAGATTTAAAGTGAAATAAGTATACAGTGTCTTGTAAACATTAAATACCAGAAAGTAATGGTCAAAGAAGAAAACGCCAGATGCTGATGAAGGTTCTTTCTAATTTAATGGAATAATACAGGTGTTGAAATATATAGTGTTCAAGAAGACTTTATCCTGAATTCCTTTCATTATAAATTATTTATTTTACAGTGAAAATGGCAGCATGCAACAATAACCACAGTTAATCTTAAAGGCTTTTTTGACTTTGTGTATTTACATAGCAGCATTTTACCTTACCAGTATTAAGTGTGTGTTAGTATTTCTATGCCCTCAACCAAAGTTATTCAGAAAATCAGAAAGTCTAATTTGGTGAAGTCTGTCTTTCTTTGCCATAAGGACATATGACATAGAATGAGCAAGAAAGCTGCCCAGTTTAAGTGTTACTTTCACATATTTTTCTCCAGATTGCTATATGAAGCTGTACATAATATAAACACATATTCTTGTCTCTAGTTAGTCACATTATAGTTAATGACCATATGGTCATTATGGTATAAGATCTACTGTCTGTTGTATTTATATTCCTCAAGCATATTGTTCCTTCAACTTCACAGTGTGTTAAACTATTTCAAAGGGAAAAAAAATCCTTTCCCTCTTGTTTCTGGTTGTCCTATCAAGTGTAACCTTGGACCCTTATAGAGCAATTAGACCAGCCTCTATCCCCTCCTTTGTAATGAGGTTTCTTGCATTTCTGAGTCTATAACCCTTTAGTCTTCCCTAATGGGACATCATTATTCTGAAAGAAACAATGTAAATGTAAATGAATATTCTCATTAACGAGTCACAGAGAAACCTTTAGTGGTAGCGCTGTGGTAATTCTGCTTGTTATTTCTCTGGTATTCCATGCAGATTTTTTTTTTTATAATTCATTATTAGTATTCAAAATTACTTCTTCTTTAATTCTGCATGTCTTTCATAATCCAGTGTTCCAACTAGTTCAACCATGTCCTTGTTTTATTCTCCAGGAACCACCTGTGAAACGTTCAAGGTCTCTGTCCCCAAAGAGCTCTTTTAGAGAGTCAGAGGAACTAAGGAAGCTTAAAATAGCTGAAAAGAAGATTGAAAACTTAGAGAAGACACTACAGCTAAAGGTGAACATTAGAAAAATAGAAATAAAAAAACCCTCTAGCTATAAGCTTGCACAGATAAAGATATACCAAAATAAACAGACATTTTAAAAATGCAAAATGCACCTCTCATTATTGACTCTTAAGTATGTTAGCATAAGAGAGTACTCTGCATTAGTTTGCCTTTTTCCTTTACTGGTAGGAATCTTATGTTGGTACTCCTGCAGTCTTGTGGAGGCCTAATTTGAGCTGTCATCAATAATACGTGTTTGTTAAATACATCTTCAAAATTTGTGCCTGAGAATATATATTCTGAGAAATTAATACAGTCATATAAAGATAAAAGTACACACTTTTTTTTTTTTTTTGGTACAATGAAGCCAGTGTTTTAAAATGCTGAAGTCAGTTACTTAGAACAGATTTATGTCTTGTACTCTTAAAAGTTATGGCTCAGAAATTGTTGTTCTAACAAATGCTGTAATAAAAACCCAACAAACAACCCACACACACTCCTTGGTAGAAAAGCTTAACTGTGCATGTATTACAATTTCCCATTTTGTCCCTGTTTTATAGAATTTTTTTTGGTCTGGGGTTTTTTACTTCAAAAATAGTACACTTTGAATGACTTACTGGTTTCAAATTGCACCTCAGAATGCAAAACCCAAACCATGAGTCACATTTCCTTAAACATTGAAAATTCATGCTGTCCTCCTTTCATTCTTCTCCTTTTTCGTTTTTATTTTTTGTTGCTTATGTTATTTCAGAACTATGGAATTTGAAAGTTATTTTCAGTATCTGTAGCGTAAAGCAGAACTGGTTATGTCAGTTAAAGGAAAAAATTTGGGGAGCCGTACAAACCATAATCCTGAGCATCTGCCTCATGCAAAAAGACATTCACTCAGATGTGATGTCATTTTTAGGAAAAATATGAGTGGGAACTCTAGTCTAGCACAAATGCAGAAGTTCATCGGCCTGTACACTGGAGAGAGCTTAATGTAGTGTCTTAACGCATGTAGAGCATACGAACAGAAAATATCATTTAGACTTCAAACTCTGTCTTATAGGCCATCTTGCTTCTTGTTCTTGGGAGTCAGGTTAACTTTGTTTTGTTTCTTCTCTGTTGAGAAATCTAAGGCATGTCCTACCAGCTCTACCCGAGAACTGGCCTTTGGCAGACCTCCTGTTTGTTACTCTCCATTGACCTGCCAGACACTGATGCTACAGATTATTCTGACACTGTACACTATGACTGCTCTGCCCTTGGCAGCAAAGCTCACATGTCAGTGTGTATGATTGTTGTCTTAAATGATAGATTTCCACATATCTTTATGTTTTCTTCTGGAAAGAGTAGTGAAGAGAAGCATTCTGATTTTCAAAGCATATAGAGAAGATAAAGGACTGTTATTCTCTCTGCATGACCTCATAACATAATTTTTACCATTCACCATACTGTCATTTCTTCTGTTTCATTTTAAAGCATAATTGAGGAATCTGTGCAACTTCATTATGTTGCAAGTGTGAGATCTCTATTTATCACAGCTGTTAATCCATGAGGGGTCTTTAAGGGCCATTGAAACTGAATATATGAACTCCTTGCATTTTCTCTAGGAAACCTACTTGGCTTCTTTTGCAGAATGCTTTAATTGATTGAAAAGAAGCTGTAGAGGTCCAAGTCAACATAATAAAACTGTTGTGGCACTGTATTTAGAATTCAGTGAGGCTGTTGCCACCATGACAGTGAACTCAGCTGTCATAACAGTAACATCAGAATAATTCTATTGGTACAGTATGATTTCTTTGTATTAGCTTCCTCAGGTATTGCTTCCAAGAAAGAACAATGCATGTGATCAACATTTTGGAAACTGGCATTTGCAGTATTGTCTCCTCAAGCAAAGTGTTGACTATATGATTATTTGAAATTACTTGCTCTGAAAAATGCTTGCTCTATCAGTAAACATACTGATGATTTATATCCTGAAGATGAAATTGTGACTTATCCATCAGTCCTTCTGATAAATTGGTAACAATAAAAAAAAAAAAAAGTCCCTCATTTATGGGATTTTCAGGAACAGGAATATTTGATGCTCCAGTCAGTATTACGAAGGAATAGAAAAGGGCAAGGTCCCATTCATAGGATTTTCCAGTTCTTCTCAGATGACTCATTTCTGGCCAAGGAAAATTGGCTCTTGCTGTCTTTATTGCTAATATCAATAAGGTAATCATGTAAATTCAGTGTGTCCATAGTTTTGGTACAGTATTGGCTTAGTTTCTGCATTCCAGGATATGGTAAAAAGTAACAGAGCATGCTTAAATTGCACCCTTGTTTAGGGAAGAGTACGTCAAAGTAACTAAGAGTATTTCATGGGGTTTGAGTAGCAAATTATTGAGCTGGTACTTGGAATGCTCCAAACCATAAGTACATCAATCTACTGTTGGCCTTTAAGAAGTGGATAGGAGCTTGACTGCTTAGAATAAGATACTTGGTATGAACTAAGGGTATGTTATCTTCTCCCATATTATGTTTCTATAACTGTGATCCTTGGCATAGCCTAGAGGAGATATTCCTGGCTTTAACTGGAAAGTTTTCAAAAGCTATAGCACATCTTCCCTTTGAGTTTTCTCAGCCTATTTGTATAAAGTGCTAAAATTTTGGAGAGAATCAGAACTAGAATATGTAGAACAGTATTTAGGGCCACCTTAATACTTGTTTATATGAGTGAGGGCACGCTTAGATTAAGTTTAGATTTCATATATAGTCCTGTTCCATGTATGCCAAAAAAATATTAATGTTGTGGCTTTTCCACATAGTTACTCTTGGAAAAAACTATTTTTGTAATGGTCAGGTTCGTCACTTCTTGTCAGCCTAAGAAGAGTAGTTGAATAATTGAATCTGTATGTTTTTTTAAATCTGTTTTAGTTCAAGTTTTACTGTAACAGAAGTAGTTACAGTCAATTTCAGCAAAATTTGAAAGTAGTGATTTGAATCTTTTGGCATGTCTGAGTTGCCTGCAAATAACAAAATGAGCCTTTTTCAAAGGCAGTTGGTCTCTTCCTGCTGCAGATTGGACTTTTTGTCTTTCATTATTGCATAGGAGGTATTACAGAATGACAGTAGAGAGCTGGAGAATAACCTGATGATCCAGCACTGCTAGAGATGATTGTTTTGTCCCCTTTCTGTCAATATGTAGAAAACTGTGTACAAGACAGTTTAATTATTAAAACTATAATGTAATTCAACCAGAGAGAGTTGGAACTAACTGAGATTATGGAAACTACAGTCTAAATTTACAGTTCTGAAGTGCTTAATAATCAGTAAAAGTGTGATTAGGACAGTTAACTGTCTAATTTCTATTTCTGTGAGAACAGAGCAACTGATAAGGGAAGGGAATAGCTGGAATGGAATGGGTAATGTAACAGGTAAACAATAATAAAAAATGTAGATTCATAAATAGGGAAGGCCAAATTCTACACTTGATTGCATCTCTGAAAGGACATTGACACTAATAAACTTCTGAGGATTTATGCTGAAGACAATATTTTCCAGTACCTTACCAGACTTGATCAGTTTTCACTAACAATATCAAATGAACTCAGAACAGCATGTATAATTGGATTCTTATAAAAACTTCCTGTTATTTCAAGCAAAGCCTGGTATTAGAATCTATGTCCTTTGACATAAATATATCTTGCTGTTTGTGTGATTGTTTCTAATATCATTGTATTATTTATATGAGCCACTTAAAACCTGTCAAAAGTACTTTTTAAGCAATGCTAAATTTGTAAATGTATCTGGTTTAGAGGTTGATTAAAAAAGAAAAAACAAAACAAAACAAAACAAAACCACCACCACTTTGGAAAACTATTTAATCTTAAGGTCACTTTGGTAAGGTCACTTTGGCTTCTGTTCCTAAATCTGTGTTGCCTCAGTCACTTCCAGAAAACTTCTGGAATTTTATATATAGCAGCATCTGAAATTTTAGCTGATTATCTTTCAGTTTTGTTTATGTCCTGAAAGCTAGGCTACATTTTAGAAGTCAAACTTAGTCTGGGTACTTTGTAGTTATCACTACTGTAGAAACCCTTGCCATGTTTTTATAGTGGGATTTAATTTTTATTGCTTGCAGCTCTGACTACTCGTGTGTCTCATTTATTGAGTAATGCTGAAAAACCCTCCTTGCATATAAGCAGTAAATACATGCAAATTAAGTACTGTGATTTACTTAGAGATTAAGGAACATCTTCTACAAGCAGAGCTCCCATTGAACTTGAAGCAGTGAAGGCAGATTTTACTGCAGGATAATGTCTGGTGAATTCTTTACTGCTGTATGGCAGAATTTGATCTGCTTTATTCAGTGGAATGTCCTCTTCCTAATGTTCAGTTTTTTTCAGTGCACTGTTGTCACTTAGGAAAATCTTTTTTTAAACTTGCATGGCATTAACCTCTAATAAAATCAAAGTATATCTTACTTTTCATTCTGTAAGAGAGAGTACATTTTTTCATATGGTTTTGATTATATGAAAGCTATTGCAAAATTTATTTTTCTTTCTTGTTTGTTACATAACTAGAGGACAAAGTCTGGGTGTTGCAGGTTTATTTACATAAATAAATAAATATATGGAGAAATCCTGAAGCTCTTTAAATTTAGGTTTTTTGATGTGGACTTCACATCAAAAGTGCTTGTGCTTCACTTGGAAATACAAAAATTAGTTTTACACAGGGAAAAAATAAAAATGAAAAAAGTAGTTTGAAGAAAAAGAAAGTGCCAAGAAGCCTTTTTCAGTCTGTGTATTTTTAGGTGTATTAGGCCAGTGCATTTACAGGATGCACACTGACATTTTGTTAGTAAATTTTTTAAACTTCTCAGCAGCATGAAAAAATATTTAAGTAAATTTTGCCAAGTTAGCAAAATTTGACAAAGTAGTGTTAAGAAAAATTTTACCTCAGGGGTTGTAATTCCTGAACTTTCTATTTAGATTTCTGAAGCTCTTAACAGTTACTTAAACAGAAGTTCTGTTTCATGTGATCTGTGTGAAAGTCTCTTATATTTTGCCCAACTCTAATTTTGGTTTTCCGGTGCTATACAGACTCAAGAAACTGATGAGCTAAGAGCAGCCCATGAAAAACGCAAAGAGAGGCTGCAGATGTTACAGACCAACTACAGAGCACTAAAAGAGCAATTAAAGCAGTGGGAAGAGGGCGATAGCAGGTAAGTTACATAGCTCATTAAAAACATTTCCCTTACACGAAAAATCTGAACAGAATTATTATGTAGCTATTTGATTTGAAGGAAGAAGCTACTATGTGATGATCAAGACTATCCTTTGTTAAAGCAGAATACGTGGCATATGTCTATATGAGAAAAACTGCAATTGAAATAAATAGTAAAATGTATTAAGCTGACATCTTGAGTTATTTTATTTAGGATCTCATTGTGAGCCTGAATACTGGACAGAAGTCTGTTAGGGATGCTTATTTATGCTAGTCTAATTCCCCAGTTGATTAATTTGTTGATGTTGTATGTTTTTAATTTTCTATAGCAGAACAATTCCTCTTTATGTTTCAAATAGTTGTTAAAAATAATTTTATTCTTTAAAAATATAGAAATAGCAGCCTCCCTAACATTTAGTGATTCAAACATTAACTGAAGATAATGCTGAAATCCCCTTTTTAGTGGGGAAAAAAATGTATGTGCATGAAAAACAGGGTGTTTTAATCTATTACATGATTATAAAAATCAATTATTTCTGATCATTCTACAAAAATATTGCAGTAATATATTGTTATTAATGGAGAGACTCTACTGCATCAAAACTTAAAAAGTGAATATTCTATATATAAATCTTCCTTAAATCCTATACAAAGAGTGAAAAATTTATGCGGAATTTTTTTTTTTCCAACTCCTTGGCAGAGAGTTAGATTTTTTGGTAAACAGACACATTTAGAGGTATGAAGGCATCTCTTATCACTTCAGTTGCTAGACACTGCTGAGGTATGGTTTTTCAGGCCCTGTTTCAAGAAAGTAATTTGAGCAAGTCCTGGTGGCTCTAGTGCACCTACAGTTTAGTAAACCTTTTTGTAATTAGAAAAATTCTGAGTAATCTTGACACAAACTTTGCAACAGTCTCTGACCAAAAAGACTGTCACAGAAATTGCTGCAAAACTGGTAGCTGTTCAGAGAGTCCAGGGTGACATAAAGCATTGTACTGTGAATGATAAACTGTCCCTCATATATAAGTAATGTTTTGGCCTATCTCAGTAGCATTTGCGTTACTTTGTAATACTATGGCATTTAATAAGAATGGTTTGTCTTTTAAAAAGAAAAAAAACATGTGGATTAAAATAATGGTAAGGTACAAATCTGTTATGGGCATTGGTAACACAGGAAGATTTTTTGAAATATCAAAGCAGAAATAATGATTTGATTTGTTTAAGTTAGAATGAAAAGGTGTGTTTATTTAGGAAAATTATGGATGATTTTGTCTTCTAGCTCACTTTTAAATTTAGTGCAAGCTGAAAATGAATGAAACCTACTGGATGATAGTTACTTTATGCAATGAAATAATTTAATTCTGTGTCTAAAGCTAAGTAGACATTCATGGTCCACTGAGAGGCCAAGGCTGAAAGGATACAAAAATTCAACCTAGATAAAGATGTAAAATCAAACTCGATATACAGTGAAGCACTGAGTGTTCTGGTTCTGATAATTATTTAAAAAAAAAAACCTGAAGAAAAGGGAAAGAGAGACAAAACCAACTTTTGTTTCTGATTAAAATAAATTAGACCAGCTTGTGTCCTGACAGGAATATATTTGGGAGAAGTAGATATTGGGGAAAGTGTAATTTTAAATATTTGTTAATCTGATTTTTTTTTTTTCATCTGTAATTAAGATGAACTAAAAATTAAATGGTTTTGGTGATTTTTGACTTCAGAGCAGAATTTGTATGAAGCCGTCATGCTAAAAGAGGTTTGTTTTTCCTTTTTAGTATGCTTAAACAAAGGAAAGTAGCCAAGACAAAAATAAAATCAGTCTGTAAATGGTTATACCTTACACTGTTATTTTGAGATCTCAAAAAACTTTGTATTGCTGTTGTAATGTCAATTGGGCATTAAGAAGTCAGTATCAGGTACTTATGTGTCACTTCTGATGATGGAGGACCCCATTCTTTCTGATTCTTCACAGATTAGGATCTGTTACCGAGATGGCAGCTGATAAGACCTAATCCACCTGTCAGTGTACATACAACTTCCACTGACATACGTGACTGCAAAGATGATGGGGGGCCTTATGAGTTAACCACAGTCTCTGAGAGTTTATATCTATGCCCAGTAGGAATTTAGAATGCAGACAGTTTTAAGTTCATATTGCGAAGGATTTTTTTAAATACAGTTTTTATATTTTGCATTATTAAAACACATAAATGACAGAAAAACTGTGAAATATTTTCATTTTCTTTTTTGGTGCTTCTGAATTCAGTATGCTTTTTCCTGATGCATCATCTTATCCATAGATAGCTTATTCTCTCATTGGACTAGATCAACAGTGTGATTTAGAGTGGGCAGTAGTGCAACCTCTAGACTGGTTTTTAGGGGCATTAGGGGAGCTGGTGTTTCTCCCTTTTTTTTTTTTTTGCAAGAGATTGTGTGATTATTTCACCTTCTGCCATCTCATACAAGTATTGTAAGGAATGTTGACAGAATGAATGTGGGTGACACAGCTCTTCCACACGTCAGTTGAAAGCCACAGTGCCATAGTAGCATGGTATCTGTCTGAAACTACATAATTGAACACTTCTGTAATACCACACTTGTACCACAACATATACATAATACAAGATTTATATTCAGTAGATGCCACAATTTAAAATTTTTTATTTTCTGAAAGCAAGGTTACTTTTATTCTTGTGGTACTAAAACATGTAGGTATTTGAAAACAACCAACCTCTTTTTACTCATAAACAGGATTGAAAGTAGTAAAAGGAGATACGAGCGTGCAGACCCCCGTCAGCTTTGTCTAGAGGATTCTGATGCTGTGTGGAATGAACTGGCTTTTTTCAAAAGGGAACACAAAAAGCTGTTGATTGAAAAGTGAGTTTGTTTCTTAAATAGTGTTTACATGAAGAAACATTCTGTTGTTTTTTCTGAAGGTGGTGCTTTGCAGGCTACATAAGAGGAATACCTTGCAAAATTCCAAGATAAAACCATCTTCTACCAAAAGCAGAAAAGGAAAACATCAGCTCTTACCCCCCCC